TGAGAGGTCACTTAGCAGAAGTTGTCTTACAATCAGGAGAAACAGAGAACAAACAAAGAATATAATATATAAATGTGTCCCCCAAGTCTTTTGAGTGTGCAAATATGGAGAGCTAATTAGGGGAACATACCTACACACTTATGAATCCAACATTTCATTTCCATTCTCAAATTCCAAAGCAATTATAACTTCATCATTTTTACTGTATCCCTCAAAATTCAAGATGAATTTCCTAGACAGTTCAGTGGAGTGAATGCATTGGTATATTCTTTTGATTAAGGACAATGTATGAAGGTATTAGCATTTTTCCTGGTATCTTTGCATCTTTTTTACAGTTATGTATTTAAATAAAATATCCTTGGATCTTTTCTCCTTATCCAAGGAAGTCTATGCATCAGCTTTTAATTATTTCAAATCTTTATTCAGAAAATCTCATCTCTCCTTTTTTGAATCAGTTGAAAATCTCATATACAGAAATGAACCATAAGCCCATTCTGGCTGTGCAACAAATCTCTACATTTTTGCCCTCAGTATTTGATATCACTCCAAATTTTTATTACAACTAGTTTTCACTTGCTGAGAAATATTATGTTTCATGGTGGAGAGCACCTAAGCTTGAAAAGCACACTATGTCTAGAAAAGAAAGGAGAAATTAAAAAAATATGTAAAAAAATAAACAAGAGAATTAAGTGTTGGAAAAGAAAGCACACAACTAAGTAATGCCCCGTTCTGCTAGGCAGCCTACGAAACCTATGAGAGACAAACTATGATTTTTTCTGATGAAATGCTTTATTATTGACCTTAGATAAAGCATTCATCAAGTACCACAGTGCTTCCCTGCACCTGCTGCATACAGCTACTAAAGTGAACATTAAAGAATAGAATTAATAGTCAGAATAGAAAAAAGCACACTCTTTTCTACGCAAGATGAAAGCAGATAGCAAAATTGGATGATAGGCAAAAGCAATTAGTAAGGAAAACTTTACGTCAACGAAGCAGCAGAGCTTGTTAGGTCATCTTAATTATGCATGCTAAGTTCTGACTTGAGGCACAGAAAACTAGAAGATTAATAGTTGTACAGTAAAAGAATTCTTAACTCATAACACTTTATTCATGCTCTGCTTCGCTTGGTCTGAATCATGGTTGTCATATATAAATGTAGGAGTGCATTTATGCTCCGAGTTTGGGGTTTTGTTTGTTTGTTGATTTGGTTTGTTGGGTTTTTTTCTCTGTGCTACTTGTATGGAATCAAAAATAAGAAGTCAAGTATATCAAAGTAAAGTTCCTTGAAAATAGCATGTTACTTTTCTGATTTCCAGAATATCTTTCCATTAATACAGTACAGATGACAGTACAGTTAGAATTTAACAAAAATATTCAGTCGTCATAATTTAGCAGTTTTTCCACCTAGCAGGAAAATCCAAAACGCAATGGTTTTGCTCCAGGCTAAATCAGGATGAACCCTTGCAAATCTAAACTTTTTACAAAATAAAAGCTAAAGTTAAATAAATTACATGTTTTTATTTAATTCTGTTGTTTTGTTTTGTTTTGTTTTGTTTTTTAACTTACATTATAAATTCATTTTTGAAGAAGAAATCTTGTTCTGGTTGAAAATTAGCGTGTTTTTTAATGCCAAGTCACTTTGCTCAAGTGGTTGCTAAGTAGCAACCACTTTCAACTTTCAAAATTTAGTATAAAGTTAGTGAAAAATAACAGTAATGAATATATCATATATCAGAGAACTGTTTAAAGATCCTCAATCTGGTTAGAAGTTGTTTAGTAACGTTGTAACACAAGGCTCCATTTCAGACTACTTTTCAGTCTGCATTGTAATCTGCAATGCTGACGTACTTTCAAGGCAGATTGCCCCAACAGAACCACAGGTTTGCATACCTGAATCTATCATACATTTGTATACAAAAAAAAAAAACCAAAACCAACATTCATTTTGGTGACATACAACTCCAAATATTTATCTTGGAGCAAACGTCAAAACTTTCGGTGATGTTATTCAACCTCTTTCGATTTGAATCCTGTTCTTATATTATAATTAGCTAGTCCCTGGGACAGAAATGTACATGGAAAAAATATTCTACAGATGTTGGGGGGAGGACGGTGGGGGGAAATGAGTGAGTGGGTGTGTGGTTCTTAGTTGCCAGCTGGGGTTAAACCACAACTGTCATACAAATAAGTTAACATTTATTAAATAATAGAATGATTAAACATGGAAACATTCATTAGATAGTTTAAATAGGTTTTTCCAAAGCCCTTACAGAGAATCTTAAGAAACCCTAAAAGGAGAGCGAAACATGATGGAGAATTTGGTTTTCACCCCTAATCTTCTTGGGTGTGCTAAAGCATCACCCTTTCCAGAGTTGTCCTGAGGAGCAGCCTAGAAACAAAGGAAAAACTATTCTAATTGAAGTCAACAGGATCCACACTTGGAAATCTGACTTGGAACATTCCAAAGAGACAAGATGAAATTTTACACCCACCTTTTATCACATCGGGATACTAAAGGTTAGATAATTATGAGGAAAATGATTTACTAATTAGAGAGTTATACAAGCCTACAGAAAACTTAAAATGAGAATTAAGACTGGGAAGTCTATGAATCATAAATAAGGCAATGCAACATCAGAATTAAATTGATAGTTCTAACTCTGTCATGATGGCTAAGTTAGTTTAAATATAGTGGAAAAGTCAGAGGAAGAATGACATAACACAAACACCACTAGAATGTATAAACTTTGTGATCCGTAACTGCCTGGTTTTAAAGCATTGGAAACCAGTTTATCTTCATTGAGTTCTCTAAATGCTCAGAGATAGATAAACCTCAGTTTTTTATTTGGCAAATTCTCAAGTTTCAGGTATTAAAATACCTGATTAAATGGCATTTAGCTATGTGGCTCAAGCTGAATGGTCTCCAATTAAGCAGGCTTATTGCTAATATTTTTCTGAATAAGCTGTAGTCATTATCAACCAATTAAAATAAAACAAATTCCCAGCTCAGCCCATATTCCATAACAGCAATTAATATCTGTGCATTTCTGACTTTAAATACACATGAACAAATAAGAAATGGTAGTCAAATTTTACAAACTTAACAACTTTATTGATAATAAGTCAATAAAATGACTTAATTGATTTGACTTATTCTGAGCACAGGAAGAACTTTGTGCAATCATGTCATGACATAACTTTCTTCTACACCTTCCAAAGACATTTCTTGTAAAACTGACATCCCATAAATGTTTTTTGTATATCTAAGGGCCAAATTAGAAAAGCTCTGTAAGCACTTAGCACTTGTCAAGATTATTAGGCCTTAAAACACCCTTTAAATTCAATCTGCATATCTCAGGCATCTAAAACCCAGGTAGGCAAAGCACATTTAGATGCTCAATCAACATAAAAATCCCCATAAAATAGTCATCACAGTCTGTATGAATACTTGGTTCCACTTAGATTGACAAAGAGGGCTCTTAAGGGTCCAGAAGAGAAAGCAGAGTGTTTTTCATGCACTTTATCTTTTTCTGTCCTGAGGCAAAGTAATGGTGTAAAGTACAGTCTTACACAGTCATATACTGGTAATAACTCTCACCAGAAGCTTTTCTGAGAATGGCATTTTCTTTACAGCACCACAAAGGCTGACAAGCATGTGATTGGCCCACAGAACTCTGTTCCAATATTTATTATTCTATGATTTTATTGACCATGGCCCTGTGTTTTGATAAAGTAACTACTTGTACTGGTCTTGGTAACTATCCAAAGGTTTGAGATCGACTATATCTTTGATCAATGCATAAAATAATCTCAATCATTGTAGTTGTATAACTGCTACAAATTTTTAATTGAAAAAGGTAAAAATCAAAGAATGAAAATATTAATGCAAACAAGGAAGCATGAAACAATGACTGACAATAATAAGCAGCAGCTATATGTAAACCAGATGTATACTTCACACATTTCTAAAATTTTGGGGGGTTCATTTGCTTATTTGGAATTATTTAGAGAAATGAACAATATAACTTTACAGATCACGTCATATGGTACTTTAAAAGTGCAGCACAACAGAACTAGCAAATAAATTAAATTTAAAATGTTTCAAATTATCATGTTCAAGGTACCATATACAAGAAGTAAATAGAAGAAAAAAGTATTTTTCTCTAAAAATGGTAATTTTCTAAAAACAAGACAAAAAGGAAATTAACTTTTTAAAATATTAATTGTTATTTAGTATTTGATGTCTATAAAACCTTTAAATCTTATCAGTAGAAAAAAAATCATTCAAAAGATTAGCTATGCTAAGTGGCCCAACTAACACAATCTAGGTAACTGATAAATAATGAAGATACTAATCTTCAAGAAACAGAATTTGCTATTTTTCAAATGGAACATGAAAAGGCTTTAAAAAAAATAAAAATATAAAGAGCAGTGGAACTCTGTCAGCAAAGATGCTACAAATCGCTCTGGGCCAAAGTGGAAAATTAGATCTTTCAACAAATTTGAAAACTAAAGAGGTCCTAATGTAGGATATGTTTTAAAATATACCCCTTCTGGACATTATAATTGTAGATTTAATTCCAACTGATGAGTAGTAAAAACTCACTGAAAACCTAGTCATGAAAGTTTATTTGCATGAATGTAATTGCAATTTTCATGAACAGAAGTGAGGCCAGAGAATAATGGCAATGAAAGGAAAAAAAGCCAAACAACCAGACTAATTAGATATGTAAAAACATATAAACTGGAAAAGATATTAAGCAGGTCTTACTTATAGTATCCATAAAATAAATTAAAAAAAAAAAAGAAAGTTAATACAGCTATGTATTCAGCCTACAGAATATTAACAGAAAGACCACAGTTACTCTGTCACATCTACAACAATATTTGGTCTCATACCTCTAAACAATCTTAATAACAGAAATAAAAAGTTAAACCTTTTTTTTTTATCTTCTCAAACATATACAAAAAAGGGAACTAAACACTGATATTCATACCGTCATAAATCCATCCAGCAAACCTGAATCAGGCTTAGGAGGTGCTTGCAATCGTTCCATAGACCACTTTTCAATGATAGATGACACCTGGGTATTTTCTGTGTTTAGAATTCTGAATCCAGTCATATTAACTCCACTATACCGATAAGGTTCCACATCCAAGGCAAAAAGGTCCTGAAAAAAATGACCATCGTATAAATTCTTTAATACACTGCAATTCCTATTTCAATTGTTAGACTGTCTCCCCAAATGAGAGTACTGAAATTTGCAGGAGTTACTTGCAGGAGTAACAGCACTATATATGCTAGGAAGTATGCTCTGTTTATCTGGGGGCCTGTGCCTGTGAGCAAGCAACTCATCTGACCCTATGGTGGGAGTAATCTGATTCACAGAGGAAGAACAGATTCAACTGTCTTTTTTCTAAAAAAAAAAAAATAATAATAAAAAAAAAATAATAAAAGCCTTATAGGAAATGCTAAGTCCAGTCGCAGAACTGTATCCATTACCAGTTAGGCTTAAATAATATTATTTAGAGTAGGTTTAAATAGTATTATTAATAGCTAAAAATATTATTATTAACCACTACTTCTTTGCCTTACCAGAACAGACTTCAAATCACATAATAAACAGAACAAGAGTTCCCTTGCATCCGCACTCTCTAAGAAACATGAACATGTTGATCTCTAGATGATAAATTGGTGGGGGGAGAGGGGAAATGTACATGCCTTTAAATTTAACCAAAAACATTTTTCACAGCTATCAATCATACTTCCAAACATGGACATATCTTTGATTAGGGTTTAGTCTTTGTAACAATAACCTTTGTCAATTAATGTATGTATGTATGTGCGTGTATATTTAGGCCCCCTACACACACAGAGGCAAATATAAATTAATAAAAAGATGAAAAACTTTAAATCAGGCAAGTAAACTCAAGATTATCCCAGTCCTTTGACAGAATCCTTAGCAACAATGTAGAAACAGTACTTGACTTCAGGAAACTCAGTCTAAGATCAAGTTGAGAACATGGGGAAAAAAAAACTGATGAAGAAAGCAGTCATGACAGGCCTAGGTACATGCATTATAAGTGAGATTTCATTTGGTTTACTTTCTGTTTCCTTTTAAATAATTTTTTTAAGTGACATAATCAAGGTTATACATAAGACATTACTGTCCTATAAGATAATTTTAGTTTCATTGAACATACAAATTCTCTACATAACTCATACTTAGTTGTTCATCTCATTTCTAATTTATTTTTTGCTGGCAGTTTAATATATTATTAATTTCCATGAAATGGTAGTGTTATGAGTAACACTTGCCTGAATCCATTTTGTTTACTGTCTAGAGCTGAAGAAGATTAAATGTTGTACTATGGAAAACCAAAACATAATTCATTATTCATTGTTAACACCACTAAGCCCACAAAAATATCAACCAGTTATCAATCATTACCCATTTTTAATTACAGGTAGTAATTATGATGCCATTTCCCATATATAATACCTAAGATATGCAGGTGTCAGAATGATTTTAAGTTATTCATTTACAAATAACCTAACTCATGTCCTCTTTCTAAAGAAATAAAACATTTTATTGCAAAGGAAGGGTTGAACATAACTAGAACAACGTTACATCGTTCCCTTTAAATACTCTCTCTGTTTTTACTGTGAAAGAAGTCAGAACCTCAGATGTAATTATTTAATCCAAACACACTCATGTTTACACTGGAATATAATAAATATACACAACAATATTATGCATATATTATAAATACACACAGGTCAGAGTATTAATGAGCTACTGCATTAGACCCTGAATCAATCAAGAGGAGAACACACAGAAGACTGCTGTAAACACTGGGACTGGAAAATTTATTTGACAGGACTTTCACCATGTCAGGTAAGAAGCAATTAATATATCAAAACAACTAAATTCTGAGGCAAGTTCCAAAGCTACACTGCAAAATCAAAATTTATCATCTGTTTGTGCACACTAAATTATCCTCTGATAGCTCCAAGTCAATATAATACTTGTTTCTCAAAAAACCCCCTAATGTTCCAATAAAGAAATAAGAATGACAGAAAACCCTGATTTTTAAACATAGCTTTAAGAATAAAAATTAAATGCCAATGGACAGCATACCACTGTTTTTTCACCATTAGCAAAATTAAAATTTAGAAAGTAAAAAATACCTTGAAACACCTAGAATCCATTTTGACAGACTAGTGAGGAAAATTCCATTGCATGCAATCCTAAATGCATGATAGAACAACGTATCCTTCTAAAATAAGACAGGTACTTGTGCGGGATATTTTGCCTGTACAGTTCTAACAAACTTCACAAATTATTTTGCTTTCTATTCCACAAGCTATTTTCATGCTAACAAAGGATTTATTTCCATAAAGGCTTAAACATGTATGCGACTTTAAACATAGGTCATTTCAAGCATGGTTTTACCAAGGCACATGTGTCTCATGTTTGAAATGTCTTGTATTTTAAGGACCCTAATGAACTGCAATCTAAACAGGCAAATTTGAGCACAATGGGAAACAGAGAAATGTGCACAACTGAAGTTTCTAGAGTATTATTTTACTAAATGTTAAACTGTTTCTTAGTTAGACTGTTTGTTATGTTTTGTAAGAGCATTTGAGCATTTTTAAATGTTCATTTATTGCAAATGTTAAATCTGATGGTTCCAAGAATGACCAAATTCCTTCTTAGTTACTTTTACAGGGGACATCAAAGAATATTGCATCATTCATGTACCTAAAAAGGTCATGCAGACTCTTAAATAAAGTGCTGCTAATAATCAAGCCAAATTATTTGGGAATCATATGACCGTGAAGAATTACCTTGTAAAATGATGGATTAAAGATAAAAGATATAGAATATATGAGTAAGTTTAAAATGTCATAATTTTCACAGACAAATAGCCAAAAGAGAAAAAGGTCAAATTTCATAATATAAATAAATCAATTATTAATTATATACTTAATATATAACCCTGCTTGAAAGTTAAAAACTGCACTATTACAGTCAGTTGCTTTTTCGGGTCTATCAGTTTCCAAGGCACTCTGTTAAACAATAATTAAACTATCCTGATGAATTTTCACTGAAAGTAAGAAAACTCAACAGAGTTGACTCACACACCATTCCAGAGAGACCTTTTTCACTTTGTCAAGTAATGTAATTAAGGAAAGTAACATCTTTGTTAGATGTCATCAGTGTGTTTTTACAAGCCACTTACCAGAGTGGTAAAGATATAGTGATAGTATTCTGTCATCATTCCCATAGCTAAAGCCTTAAAAAAATAAACAAAAGATTAATGTTTCTGAGGTCACATAATACATTTTTATCACACTTACATGGCAAATGAAAAGCTGCAAAAGAACACTACCGGGATCAGACTATAGGGTTGGAATTATACTAAAATTAGGTCAACCAAGTCATTTCCTAGCAGTTAGAGCAGATTACTGACTATTAAAGGAATTTATGAACCAGATCTTCTGATATAAAGAATATTATTATACTGTTTAGTGCAGTAAATGTGAAAGAGGCTTATAGTTTTACATACTAATGGATGCATTAAGTTGCCACACAAAATCTGAGTTGACAATATTTTCATTCATTATTGAATCTTTCCCTTAAAAATAATAACCTTATAGGAAATAATTTTTCTATTTTGATGAACAATGCTGTGCATTTAAAAGAAGGAAACAAGCTTGTATTACATGTGTGTACATTTTTCCAGCCATGGAAGAAACTAGACATGTGAAGTTTTGAATAGCAAGATACATGCTATTTCAGTAGAAGTAAAGAACAAATATTCATAATATGACTCTATAAACTCAGATATCTATCAGGTACCTTCATCTGTCTTGCTAAATATGTAATACCAAATAGTTTTTGATCAACTGCATGTTTTAAAATGTTCATACTTTCCTCTTAACAACATAAGAACAAATATTTGTAAATACATTTTTAAAGCAATAAAATATGTATGTCTCATTACTTATTCATTAAGGGCATTTTCACCTGAAAATCTTGTATCTCTGTGTTCTGCACCGAAGTTGCTTTAGACTAGTATGATTTATTCAATCACATGAGTATCTATCGTGTATTTTACCTAATTTGAGCAGTGTAAAACAGCTACACAAGTGAGCAATATTTTCTTCCTTTCAAGGAATTATCAATGGAATTCTTTGCTAAGTTGCTACCAGTTACATCTCCTTCAACACACTGAAGGCAACAAGTATACAATTGTCATAATACCAGAATTTGTATACAAAAAAATTATCAGAGTTCTGAAGGCTGTGGGAGCCTTTTTACTTGTGGCATTGTGTGAAAAAATGTGAAATTACTAGTCTATATGTTCTTTTCCAAAGAAAAGTTAAAAGCTAAAATTAATTCAACATATCAGTTACAGATCAATTTTTATAATATTTTAGACAAGACTTTGACAAAAACTGCCACAACACTTTTCCAAAAGATTCCTATTGTGTATTTAGGATTCCACAATAATATTTAGAATTACAGTATAGTGTGCCAATAACAATTTAAAGTCTCTTAAACACAGGAAAACTATTATCTCATGAGAAATACTACATTTTTACTAGAAACTGTTCAGCTACAAACATTTTTAAGTACTTTTTTGTTGTTGCTTTTAAATAAAGCCAACGCATCTTCCTCTGTATATGTAACACATTTGCAGTCACCTACATCTTAGGTGCTTATAATCAAGTCTTTCATAGTCCATAGAATCTCTACACAAGAACATCCTACACATGTTCTTGATTCAGCTATGTGCTGGTGTTGTCTTTTCCAGGTCTTCTTTCTCTCACTTTCCTCACTTCTCAATAGACCTCACTCCTTTTCCCTCTTCAAAACATTGTCATTCCTCTGCTCTCATTAATCTAGTGCTTCTCTAAACTTTTAAATCATGTCTGCTTTCCCTGGTGTCCTGGTGATGTAGTTACCACTGAGATTTACCTTCATTTAATTATGTTTGTCTGAATTAAGGGGTTTTGGTGTGGTTTTTTTTTTCCTTTTCATCATGTATTTTTGGCCAGAAAACAGCAGTTGCCATTTCACGGTACCTTGCCTCTCAAGGTACATTTTTTTTCTTTCTTTCCAACTCGTTTTCTATTCCAGCAATTTCATTATTAATCTTTCAAGTCATCCTCCCAAGAAGAAACCCCTTGTCATGTCTCCCCAAGTTCATCCATTACCAGAAAAAATTGGTTAACAGTTCACAAATTAATATAGAACGATCTTTATTTTTATTTTTCAGCAAACACTTGTAAACGCTATATTTGAAATGATATCACTAAATAATAAGTACAGTCTTAATATCTTTGTGTCAAATTTGACAGCAACAGCTCACATTCAGCTGCAGAACTACTGATTTTAGACATATTTAAAGCACTGCAATATTGGAGCTGAATGGAAAACTAAAAGCCTATAGACACTGTAAAAAGATCTAAACACTCATGAAAGAACTGTTCCTGTATCTTTCTTCTATAATCTTTAGGATGAGCAGAGTAGTTTGATAAAAAAGTTTACAATTTGATTTAAAGAGGTTGAACTCCTACTCTTGGGTCCTGGAACATGATTAAAGATACAATGTTTTTAATTTTGTTCCCATTTCCTTCTAGTCACATTTTACACAATGTTGTATACTGTGAAAGAAAAGTTGCCTTTCACCTACAAACTACTAAGTACAGTATAAATAATATACCTTGATGGAGTTATTGTTAGTACTGTAGCTTTGTATTGCCATCAACACATTTTCCATTTTTAAGATGTTAAAATAATTAAATGTACGTTTGATGATTTGGGCTAAGCAATTAAACTACCTAGGCTGGCTTATGCTTCACAAGGAGCAAAAACTATCAGCAGAGCTTTAAAATTAATAGGAATTAATAAAAGCCTTTTAATCAATGAATAATAAAGTAAAGAAATGGCAGTATAAATGTATGTTTACTAGCAATTTTAGTTGTACCCACAACAGTACTCCTGAGTGCCTTTAATAAGAAACATATTTTCAAATCTTAAATACATTTTGTTTTCTATTTAAACCATACAGTCTGCTAGCAAACATAATATAAACATGAATTAAAGTCACTAAAAGCTGTGCATTAGAAATGTAGAATATTGTTTTGTTTTAGGTATTTTTCCTATCCTCCTTATTGCAAGTCAGTTAAATTTAAAAACTATGGGGGAAATGGCCTCTGAGCATAAGGAATTCCCAGTCTTTGTAGCCAGCTCATGAAACTAAAGGAGACACATAAAGGCATGTATTTCATGCATACTTTAGGGTTACAGTAAGCTTTTTTATGAGTCGCGTCCTTTGTATACCACTATATTGCCACCTTCTCTTGAACGACATCACTGAAATCTGCTTCTGCAATATAAAGCCAGTTAAGTATTTGGGATTCTGCTGTATCTCACCTGCTCATCTTACTTGTACACCCCAAAGCAAACACTTTCAAAACACCTACCCAAATGTATACAGGTGTTTTGCTGTCTTATTAGTGTGAGGAGAATATGGCTCTAAAAGATCCAGAGCTATGAGCTCTGTCCTCTCAGTGGAACACATTCATGTGGTCTGTTGGTAACGTACTATTCAAATATCACTATCTGATTAAGAGTACACAATTTACAGACTTAAATTTAAAAAAAAAAAAAAATCTTTATTATATAAAATAACACTAAGGAAGCATTTAAAACCCTGCTTAAAGCATCCATTCTCCAAAGTACCAATTCGTCATAGTTGAAAGACTGATACACCTTTTCCCCTATACATGAACAAATAATCTGTTTCTTTAAAAAAAACATAATGAAAGCGGACACCGTTAGAGTCACCAATAAAATTACCTATGAAATCCTTGCCTGATTTTCAGTTAGGCCTCAGTAAAACTGACATACAGTTCCCCTGCTTGTTAAATGCCCTTAAGTCTGGATATTACTTTTATTTATTAGGGATGAAAAAGATTAGACCATCTAAAGCAAAATGACGGTTACCTGTTTCAAGATGCCTGCTGCCATTTCATGGCTGCAGTCAAAGATTACATGGAATTCTTTGCCTCTTTTCATCTCCTTTAGCAATGGCTTTGCATCTTTCGTGTCAGCTGGTAACTGACGAATTTTTAGTCTCAGGTTGTATCGTGACGGAGCCTTGATGAGCTCTTGTAATCGAATAAGGCCTTAAAGAAAACAGAGGAGTCAAAAGAAAAGAAAATTATCAAAACAAGAACCTGAGGTGCTAGCAGGACAACTTAGTATAAACATTCAAAGTTTCCTGAATTTTTCTCCCTTCTCAGTGTGTTGCAAGTGATACAAAAAAAGAAAAAAGAAAAATAAAGTATCGGCACTCACAATACTTTCTAACAAGCCTTTCTTCTTCCTTAATATTAACAGACAGTAAGCGACACCAGTTAGGATTACCTTAAGACAGACAAATCTTGCTTTAGCATTATCATGCAATTACGACATTCTTCTTCTAAGAACCTACATAATTATGCTATTTCAATTAAAGCAATATCCCAGACTAATAGTCTATAATCAGACGCACCAGTCTCCTAACTAATCTACCAGGTTTACATACAAAGTCGTGAATCTTTTCAGCACTGTAGAACACTCTCACATATTTCAGATGAGAGTATTATTTTTTTTCTTTATTATATAGATAACAAAACACATATATGCAGCAGCAAAGAGGCTAAATAAATGACTCATGTCATTGCATTCATCTTCAATACTCCACAATTCCGTTTTGAATTACTTTACTTTCACTATGGAATTAGATGCAGTAACATTTTTCCAAAAATCTTATTGTTCACGTTAGCATAACAGTGCATGGCGTAGCTGAAAGATCACTGATTGGTCTGTGACTAATATTAAATTTTAGGTTGTTTAATTGTATTAAAATGACAGGATAAAAACAGGTGTCCTATAAAGTAGCAGTTTATTTCTGTGTTAGCAAAAAAAAAAGATGTATTCTGCTGCGCTCACTTCCTTCTTGCGTTGGAGTGTTCTCCACTTAGTGGCAGTGACAAGGGTTATTGTTCATCATTGTGTTTGCAGTGCACATGTATAATACACCCAACCGCCAAAAATGGAAGCTCTGCTTAGGTTTTCTGTTACAGCAGGATCCAGGTGTAAATGAAGTGAAGTGCTTCTAAAATCTGTAATAGCTCACTCAGCTATTGTAATAGCTCACAATAGCTACATCAAAAATACCAATGGAAATGACTAATTATTATTTAGTTATCATCACAAGCAGCACTGTCTAGTATTAAGAAACACTGGTACTTTATTTTGTCTCTAATTATTCTTCCTGGTTACAAGTGGATGTCAAAACTGTTTTCATTTCAGAAAGTGCAGTTGTCATAATGTAACATGGAGTCATACTACAGAGTCAGTAAGAAATTGTGATAACCTCTGACAGAGGATTTAATACAGCCTTTTTCAAACATACCTTGTTCTTTTAGTAGCATAATGCTGAGAGATTTTAGTAACATAGTATTGCTATGATTCTTTGCTATGAAGCTTTTAGATTGTAAAGAATTTAGCTCTAATCATTTCCAGCAGAACTAGACCAGTAGAGAACATACATAAAAGATAAAATCGGTCTCCTCTACTTCATCATTCCCCATTTTTGACCCTGCAAAGGATCCACATTGTTTTCTCAACAGTTTCTGCTGAAATTAGCTGGAACAGGAATTATAGCTTACTATATAAAACCTTCCTAAGTTAAGACTGCAGGTGTGGAGATCTGGCAGAGGATCCCAGTAGACCTCTTAGGCCCAAAAGCAGAGTGGGGAAGGACAACCTTGACTCTCAATTTAGGATTTTTTTCTTCACTCACAAGTCTATGTCACAGATTCAATATCTTATGTTTCCTCACAGTTTCTCAGTAATATCCCTATCACATACAAACATACTCGACAATGTGTATACTGTTCAAACTGAGACGATTGTTACCTATAGCTAAATAATCTCTCAAATTTACATTTTCTAAAAACATTACTATTGGATCTTCATTAACAGCTAAAGTACTGTGAAGAACTAAATCCATTAATTCAGTGTGGGCTGACATTTTCCATACAAAATTATAATGTGAAAAATGTTAGTGGTCTTTTGTAAGTATAACAGCATACCAAAATTTAAGGTTAGAATAAAATGTTTTAACTCAAGACAGGATAAAAAATAATTCTGTGTGCTCCAGATTATTTGCCATTGCTTCCTGAAAGAAGACAACTGGAACTTTTGTCCAGCACAAATAACTTGTAAATAATTTTGACTCCTGCTACATTATATTTAGGAAGTCTCATTTTAAACTTGTCCTGCTTTCTTTGTTACATTTTGTTTTGTTTGACCTGCTTTGAAAAGCAAATAAAACCCACCATTAAAAAAATCACAGAAACATCACTATATTTACTGTCAATATTTAGTAGAGATGCTGAGGGCAGAACAGATATTGAAACTGAAGTACTTCCTCACGACTAGACCCTGCTTGCTAAGACACAGAAAAGTGATAGCTAAGGTACATGTGACTTCTGAGTAAATGTCAGATGCTAAGTCTACGTACTTGTGAAAACAGTACTTTTAGAAACTAGTTCAAATTAAAAAAGTTGCCATATTTACCTCAAATGCTATAATGATATTTATATAACATGAATTAATGTATTTAATGGAAGCTTAAATTGATTTAATACTTCATTTCTGGAATAAATATACTTAAAAGCTATATAACAGAGGTGCCTTTTCTACCTTAAAAGCTTACACATCTCCTGCGCTTTAGTACCATTTTGTATGATCTGGGACAATTACTGAAAGCAAAGGTTTGAAATGAACAACTTAAGCCACTAACCACCTTATAAAAAATAACTGACAATAACATGTCAGTAAATACACTTAGAATTGTCCCCAGGTCTCTCACATTTCCTTAAGACTAACAAAAATAAAGCAGGTAGAATGTATGTCCTCGCGGTCAAAAAATTTAGATGATTTCAGATTGAGGGAAGGACCACATTTCAAAGCAGAGTCTTTCTCAAAGGCTCACTTGCTCTGGTACCCGTGCACTTCCACCTAATATCTACAAATCACAAGAGTGGCAATATGAGACAGGTAGTATAACACACTCTGCCAGAAAGAAAAGAAATCCTGGCTTTTGTTGCCTTCTAGTCAAATATGACCGAGAAGACAGACAGAAAGACAATCTTTCTAAATAGCCACATTAGTTTGAATCAGACAGTGCTGCAAAACGTGTTGCCGTATAACAGACAACAGTATCCAAAGCTGATATATGAGCTGTTAGCACATGAACTAGAGACATACATCTATCTGAACTACTTACAGCACACTTAAGAGCAAGAAGACAGGGAAAAAATTGCAGATTTGGGACAGGGGGTTGAAAATCTGAATGTACAGACATCTTCAGGACCTTGTACCTGTGAAGTATTTAGATATTGATGGGGACTTCTGGGATGAGCTCTATTTTAACCTTCTAGTAATATTTAGTGGGAAAAGTTCTATGTCACACTGAACATTTGCCATGAAACTTCAGTCATTCCATGCAGCAGATCATCACAACTAGAAACCGCCCTCAGTATAGGAGATTAAGACAACATGAAACTCTTAAACACAGCTTTATGTCACAGATATGTGGTAGGAAAGAGATTATGATCAGTTTCACAAAACAAGTATTGATCTCCCAAAGGGAGAGCATTAAGTAAACTGCCAAATATGAGGAGTCCACAATTGGCTCAAAAAATCGTATCCATGAAACATATAGAAAAATTGAAAGATATTTTTAAAAAAAATTACTGGTGAAAATATGCTAAAAGAGATTGAAGATTAGGAGATTCGAAACTGTACTGCTGTTTGAGTCTCAAATGGAGGCAATTATTACAAAATACGCATCTACTCAAAATGAGGAAAACCAAAACAGTGTTTCACCCATGCAGTTGTTTCTGGATAATAGCATGATGACTTTTCCCTCAGGTTTTTTGTAATCTCAAATACATTTGGCCTTTTTGTTTTTCAAGAGGAATCAAATTTTATTTTATTTGGGAGGCGAGGAATGAATAAAGTATTACAGACTATTCCTAAGTGCACTGTTATTCTACAGCTGGAGTTGCTCAGTAGGAGACAAATAGACACTTGTTAGTATGATGGTTATGACAGTAATTTGAGAGAGGAAGCACCTGAGCTTTAGTCCCTGTTCTCATATTTCAATACTGAACCATTTTTCAAGAATAGCAAGAGACAACAGCAGCTTTACGCTACTGTGAAGGTTTTGGAATGAGAACCACTGCAGAACAAAACTTACTATGCTTGTGGAAGTGACTGTGAAATAAATTTGATTGTGTAAGACATTAAAGTGATTCATAAAATTCAAGTTTTCCATACAAGTACCATACTCAGTAATTTTAATATATCAGGGTTTAAAAGGAAATCTAATTGTTCTTTCTTGACTGTAAACTGTTTGGTCTTTCAAAGCCTTGTTTACTTAGAAGGGCAAAGTGCCTAATTTGTATATTTTACTCATTCTCAGGTGTTACACCAATCACCTTTGTTACATCTTTGGAGACAGGAAGATTGTCAAGGAATTTAAGTTGAGATAGAAGGAAGGGAAAAAGGGAGGCTGCTTTTCTCTGTAGCAAGTCCGTAAGTTCCAAAATTTTAGTAAACAAATGTAGGGCATTACAAGCTGACAGGTCCCTTGATCTATCCCCATTTCTTGTACCAATGCAATACAGTTTTGGTCTTTTCCTGTACATCCCAGGTTTGTCACAAAATGGCGAGAAGGGTTTTGTGGCCTATAGGAGCCTGTGAAGTAAATGTCTCACTATACTCTTATGAATTAAACATCTACTGTATGGCTGAGAAAGAACTGCAGGGGGTGAGAGCAAACTATTCAAAAACGTTCTTCCAAGCTTTGTTTTGTTACAGAGCATTACCCAAGAAGGGGAGCAAAGTGCTCGTCACTTCATGCTCTCCTCCAAAGCCTAACTGGGCTGTTCAAGAATTAACAAAAGAAAGCCCTCCACTTCATAAATCTTGTCATGATTGGGCTACACCAGAGAAAGAAAAAATCCCACCAAAATTTGAAATAGAAAATTTACAGATGCAGGAACTGATACCAGAGCAATTAAAAACTATCAAGGGTAGATAACTATAGTGTCTGCTTGCTAGAGAG